TCTGATTCCTACTTCACTAAGAGTTTTTGTTTATTTTAATTATAAATAGGCTTGGATGTTTATCATATGCCTTTCTGCATTAATTTTTTATATGTTCCCTTTTAATACTCTTACAGATGACACCCTCTTGGCTATTGTGTACTTTTTATTGTTTCATACAGTTGGAGTCCATTTCGCTAGCTTTTGGTTTCAGATTTTGTGTCTATGTTCAAAAGTGTAATTTTGTTTTTGTTTATTTCTCCAGTTTCACTGAGACACAATTGACATATAACACTGTGGAAATTTGAGCTATACAACGTGATATACAACATAATGTATTGTGAAATCCTTATCCCCATGTGGGTTAACACTCAATGCCTAGGCATTGTCACTGCTGTGCTGACGATCTACTGTTAGCAACTTTCAAGTGTATTATAGAATCCTGATCGCCAAATCCGACTAATACACAGTGTAGTCACCAGAATGGACATGAGGTCCCAGAACCTTACTCGTAACTGGAAGTTTCTAGATCTGACCAACTTTGTTTCATTTGCTGTATCCCACACTCTTGACAGCCACCAGCTTGCTCTCTGTGACTGTGAGTTTGGATGTCCTTAGATTTCCTATAGATGAGATCATCCGGTATTTGTCTTTATGTGACTTACAGTTCATCTGTGTCATCACTTTCATTTTCCTTCTCGTATTGGAATTCCATGATTTGAGAACCATTTGATGACTGTATGGATCACTGTCGTAGTGAGTTCAGGTCAGTGGTGATTCCTCTAAAAACTGTTTGTATGATTGATAAAGCCAGTGTCCTACTGTCCAGCAGAAAGCTTCAGGGGACATTAGAAAAAAGTAAAGGCAGGAAAGAAAAGGCAGTAGCATGAGGCATTTCAGATGGGTCAAGACCGTTAGCATCTATGAACAACAATGACAACAACAAAAATAAGAGTGATTAGAAGTTTTGTCCCTGAGAGCCAAAAATTAAAATAAAACAAATACCCTAAATGTTTCTATGCCGCCAGAGTTAACAGTCTTCATGGGCTTCTGTTGTCTGGAAGTTCCTGCTCTAACTAAAACTGCTATGAATATTCTTGAACAAGTCTTTTTGAGACCATTATGCCTTCATTAATACTCAGAGTATCAGCCACTGGGTACACACCAATAAGAAAACAAAACTCTCTTGAGAGAGTGAAAGAAGAAAACTTCCTGCTATAGAGATAGGTTAGGAAGGGCGGCGACAGTGGGGGGGGGGCAGCGTCAGGAGGGAAACTGGGGTCATTGGTGGTGGGACATTTGTTTGGGCAAACCTGCTAGTGCTCAGGGCTTACTCATGGCTCTGTGTTCATTGGTCACTCTTGGTGGAGCTCAGGAAAACATACGGTGCTGGCAATTGAACCCAAGTCAGGTATGTGCAAGGCAAGTGCCCTACTTGCTGTACTCAGTAGCTCTAGTCCTGAGGAAGTTTTTGTTCATTGCAGTGTAGGCTGGAGCGATAGCACAGCAGGTAGGGCATTTGCCTTGCACGCGGCTGACATGGCCAACCCAAGTTCAATTCCTCCGCCCCTCTCGGAGAACCCAGCAAGCTACCGAGAGTATCTCACCCTGGCAAGCTCCCTGTGATTTATTTGATATTTGATATGCCAAACACAGTAACAACAAGTCTCATAATGGAGAGGTTACTGGGCCCGCTCGAGCAAATCAATGAACAACGGAGGACAGTGCTACAGTGCTACAGTGTAGGCAGCATGTTACAACACTGATCAGGTGTAGTTATTGAGGCATAACTGTACTGCACCAGCATGAAAATGCCCACCCGTCTACACCACCAGCTCAGCCACCACCTGCTCTGTTTCTTGCTGTCACTACATGTTAAGTGTAGTCCACTTTAGAACTCGTTGAAAGTGGAGTCACACAGTGAGAATTCTGTGCTGGCTTTCTGCTGAGTGTAACATTTTTGTGATGCATTCTTGTTGTTGCAGATGTCAGTATTTCTTTTTTTTTTTTTTAATTTAGGGTAGTGTTCCATTCTGTGAACTAGCCACAGTTACAGTCTTCATGGGCTTCTGTTGTCTGGAAGTTCCTGCTCTAACTAAAACTGCTATGAATATTCTTTCACAAGTCTTTTTGAGACCGTTATGTCTTCATCAATACTCAGAATATCAGCCACAAGGCTGATATATATGTTTAGCTTTGTAAGACATTTCCAAGCTGTTCTCCGAAGTGTTCATAGAACTTTGCACTTCCACGAGAATGATGAATGTTCCAGTTACTCCATATCTTCACCAGCATCTGTTTTTGTTGGTGTTTGAAATGATCTGACACTGGGTATTTTGCATTTTGCACTGTCACATTTGCAATTCTTTGATGACTAATGCCTTGGAGCATCTTTTCCTGAGCTTGACCACGTGTGTGTGCATGTGCGTGCGTGTGTGTGTGTGTGTGTGTGTGTGTGTGTGACATCAGCAGTGCTCTAGGTTTACACCTGACTCTACTCTCAGAAATTACTCCTGCTGCTGTTCAGGGACCAGATGGGATACCAGAGATCAAGTCTAGGTCAACTGTGTGCAAGGCAAATGCTCTACACTCTGTACTATTGCTCTGGTTCCTTTGACCACTTTTTCCTTCTTTCATGAAATGTTCTATTCATTTGCCTACTTAAAAGTTTAAGTGGGCTGGGGGCTGGAGCTATAGTACAGCGGGTAGGGCACTTGCCTTGCACGCGGCTGAGCCAGGTTCGATTCCCACATCCCTTATGGTCCCCAGAACACTGCCAGGAGTAATTCCTGAGTGCAAAGCCAGGAGTAACCCCTATGCACCGCCAGGTATGACCCCCCAAAAAACCTAAGTAAAAGTTTCAGTGGGCTGGAGAGATAACACAGCAGGTGAGGCACTTGCCTTGCATGTGGCCAGTTCTGATTCAGTGCCCACCATCATATATTGTCTCCCAGCACATCTCTGAGTGACCCCTGAGCACAGAGCCAAGAGTACTGCTGGGTATAGCCCAAAAAACAAAATAAAAATACATTTTAAATTGAGTTACTGCTGTTAATTCTATTGAGTTGTAGTTCTCTATATATTCTGGAAATGAGTCCTTTTTTTTACAGCTATGTATGCAGCAGAAAGCTTTGCCCAGCCTATAGCATGTCTATTAAGTTTCTTAATGACTAGTGTTCTTTATATTTCTCTTTATTTATTTTTTGTTGGTTTCTACTCTTGTTTTTATTGACTTTTTTTCTAATAATGAGTTTCATTTGCTCTTTTCTAAATCTAGAATTTAATGTCATTAGCTATCGTCTTTTCTAATCAAGAAATCTAAAGCTATAGATTTCCCTCTCATATTTACCTGCATCCAAAAACTTGATTTACTGACTTCTCTTTATCATTCAATTCAAAGTGTTGCAAAACTTTACTGATATTTTCCTCTCTGTCCTAAGCCTTCATTAGAAGTGTGTTGTTTAATTTCCAAATATTTGAATTTTCCTTGATATCTTGTTGTTTGGGATTTTCATTTCATATTATTATGATCCGAGCCATGGTTTGTGCTATTGCAGTTTGCTCTGTCTTGGAAACCACCGAATGTGCTCTTGAAAGAATGTGCATATTCTGCCTTGTGAATCTGAATCAAGTCAGATTGGGTGATCGTGGAGTCTTTTCCCCTCATTTATTTTCATTTGTACCGTTTAGAAAGGTACAAATAGAAGATATTCACACAGGCAGCCCTGACTCCTCTTGGTTTATGTCTTTTAGAGGACTGAATTTTTGCCATAAGTCTCTCAAAGCCCTGTGACAGGCACACAGATGTGTTTCCGGTTGCATCCTCTCTTCCTGATGAAAGGCCCCTCATCGCTCCGTGGCGCTCTGTCTCTCCACCTTGCGTCTGCTTGTCCCGTTATTGCTCTGGCAGTGCTAGATCTCTTCCCTCTTTCCTGCATCTGCCTGCGGCTCAGTGTGAAGGACACCCCTTTGATGAATAGCGGCTGGAGGGGTCTTGCCTTTTCTTTTCTTTCTTTGCAGGGTGGGGGGTGTTCCTTGTGGTGCTCAGGAGGCCCGAGGTCCACTCCCGGCGATGCTCACTTAAACAGGCGGGATGTTCCATGAGAAGGCCTGAGGAGTGCAGGCGGACGGGGCTCCTAGGGAGGCCCCAGAGAGAGCCGCCCCTGCCTGGGGAGACTCAGCAGTGGTCTGTGCCAGCGCAGTGCCGGGCTCCACAGGAGGTTGCATGGGGGTGCGGGCATCACAGCAGGCAGCTGGCAGGTGCCTGTGCAGAAAGCCACAGCCCCAAGGGGGTGGCTGTGTGCAGGGACTGTACCTACGGCTCAGCCCTCAGGGGCTAGTGCCCCCCACTAACCACGTGGTCTCTTGCATCCAGTCCCCTGAGTCCACCGGCCGGAGGGGGAAGATTTCTACCGTTCAGGGGTGAGGACCCGGTTTCACCAGCAGCACTTCACTCAAAGTCACAGTTTTGGAGGACCTCTCGCCAACACTCAGGGAGGGTGTGTAGAAGTGCCATGTGCCCTCCCAAAGATGCCAGGAGGTGTCTGCACATCTGAGTGGCAGAGGTGCAGAGGCCGTCTGAATGCAACCTTTATGGACAGTCACAGGTAGTGACATTTGCATGGTCTCTCGAAGCAGGAAAGCTCTCGTCTCTGCTCTGTCTTGGTCCACATGTGAATAACTCACATACAACATACCAGGTGGCCCCAGCCAGGGGCTAAAAGGTGCTCTCCCATCCCGTGCAGTCAGGAAGGGCTGCATGGAAGAGGTATCCACATGTTAGCTCTTGGCTTCCTTTCAGCCTTCCTTTCTTCAGTGTCCCCCGAGGACAAGCCCCCCTGCTCCGCCTCTCCCATCCCACCTCTGGAACTAAGGGCAGACATACAGGCAGGGGAACCAGCTTGGAGGCAGAGTGACCATGGGCAGGCGGGGACGGGTGTGTCCAGCAGGGCGTTCCCTGCTCTCTGAGCCGGATGGAGGAGGGCGTCACACACCTTCCCCTCCTGGGTCTGTGCCTGCAGATGGCAGCGACAGTGAGCTGGAGCTGTCCACAGTACGACATCAGCCCGAAGGGTTGGACCAGCTGCAGGCGCAGACCAAGTTCACCAAGAAGGAGCTGCAGTCACTCTACAGGGGCTTCAAGAATGTGAGTTCTCCGAGGGGGCCAGGTGTTAGAGGCGCAGCCAACGGCCATTCTCCCAGCACCCCCAAGAAGCGTTCCAAGGGTCCTTATACCTCTGCCTGGTGCCCCTCCTGCTTCTCCCTTGCCTCCTTTGCCTCTACTCTGATGCCCCTCCCACCTCTCTCCTGCCTTCCCCCACCAGCATCTGCCTGGTCCCCCTCCCAACTCCCCCATGCCTCTCCCCGACCCCCCGCCTGGTGCCCCACCCCCACCCCCGCTGCCTCTGCCTCTGCCTAGTGCCCCTCTGTGCTCCCCTCAGCAGGGTCTCAGCAGTGACAGTCCTAGGGAGTAGAGAGAGCCCAGCCCTAGGGGTGGGGGTGGGGGGCGCCCAGGTCTCTGAGTAAGGTGGCTTTCTGTTACAGGAGTGTCCCACAGGCCTGGTGGATGAGGACACCTTCAAACTCATTTACTCCCAGTTCTTTCCTCAGGGAGGTAAGTGTGAGTGCCCCCACCCACCCGTGCACCCACCCACCTCTCCCCTGCTTGCCTGCCCACAGCCCTGCACAAGGGGGTCCTTTCACCTGGATCCAGCCTCCCCTCTCCCCCTCCCTGCCCTGGAGGCCTGGGGCTGCCCTAGTGCTATAGGAGAGGGGACCCAGCCGGAACCCTTGGGGCTGCCTGGGCCTGCCCCCAGCCCTCTCTCTGCCACCCCCAGATGCCACCACCTACGCACACTTTCTCTTCAACGCCTTTGACGCCGACGGGAACGGGGCCATCCACTTTGAGGTAGGTCCCCCCACCCCCGTCTCCTGCCCTGCAGCCCATGTGGTGAGGGGAAGGGTGGGGTCTTCCCTCCCAGGATGTCCAGGGCTCAGACACTGGCCGTGTGGCCCTGGGGGAGCGGGCAGAGTGTGCCCAGCTGGCTCTGAGCCTGACTGTGCGGTAGGGGATTGGGTTTCACCGTCTGGCCATGCTGTCCTCGGCCTTTGCTGCCCTTGCAGCCCCACCGAGCCCAGGGGCTGCCTCTGAGCAGGTCACCCCAGCCTGCGTTTGCCCCTAAGAAGTGGGCCCAGTGCAGAGGCACGGCAGCAGCCTGGGAGTGCACCCCCTTGGAGGAGCCCAGCTGGAAGGCCCCAGCCTGAGAGGGCTGCAGTGTGGATGCAGGGACCCTGGTGGTCCCCGGCAGGAGGCAGAAGCCAGCTCTCCCATCCTCTGCGCAGGCCCAGCACTGGAGTCATTTGAGAGTGGCCCATCTGTGGAGCGCGGCCCCTATAAATAGCTGCGGGAGAAACACTGAAACCTCTTTGGAGAGGAAAGCCTCGCTGAGAGCCAGCCCGATCGATCCCCAGCTCCGCGCCTGCTGCTCCGCTCCTAGGGATCATGGGCAGCTGACAGGAAGGCGGGCGGGCGGGTAGAAGGCCCCTGGCCGTGCTGGTGTAATAATAACTCGTCCTAATGCTGCTGCATTTATTTATATGCTGCAGGTCAGCCCAGCCCAGTGACTCAGACCAGAGGGGCCCCCACTCTGCCAGTGACTTCAAGGGCCCTGCCCTCTCCCCCAGGCGCCCAGGCAGGGGTGTGAGGAACCCGGGAGGGGTTTTGTCACTGTCGGCTTGGATGGATTTGCTGTGCCTCTCTGCACTGCAGGAGTCCGCGCTCACCATCTGTGGGTGTCTCACCTCCCATGCGACACCGCTGGCTGACTGCCCCCCTCAATCCTGAGTGTTCTCACCACGGTTTCAGTGACACCACATGGTGCCCAGTGCCCAGTGGTGGCAGGGAAGTGCCTGTGCCAAGCCCCCCATGGCCAGGTATCCCTGAGGAAGCGGCCAGGATTTCAGGGAGGAGGAGGAACCCAGGGCCCGTGTGGGCACAGGCCTGGCACACAGGTTTTCTGGCCCAGCAGAGAAGGGCCTGGGTCAGTGGGCCTGGCTCCCCACCCCGACGGCCTCCTGGGTTCTGTGTGCTAGGTCTGTCTGGGGGCACTGTGATAGGGTGTTGGTGCCGAAGTCCTTCTGATACAGGCCTTCTCTGCTGCTATCTGGGCCTCTATGTGCCTGTCTGGTTGGTGCTTTGGGGAAGCAGAGGGAACAGTGCTCTGGGCCCCTGCTGCTGTGTTCAGGGATCGCTCCAGAGTTGGCTCTTGGGGAGTTAGTGCCTCTGGTTTCAGGTGGTGCGTGTGTTCTGAACCCTGATGGCATCTGGATTTCACTGGCCTGCTCTGGCAGAGATGCCTTTATCCCAAGGGAGATCCCAGGTCCTTAAGCCAGCATAGGAGGCCTGGGGCAGGAGGGCCTGAAGGAGGGAGATCCTGCTTGTGTTTTTACCCAATCCTATCTGTGCACCTGATCCCGCCTGTGTGTACCTGGTCCTGCTTGTGTGTACCTGATTTTGCCTGTGTGTACCTGATCCTACCTGTGTGCACCTGATCCTGCCTGTGTACACCTGATCTGCTTATGGGTACCTGATCCCACCTGTGTGCACCTGATCCTACCTCTGTGCATCTGATCCTACCTGTGTGCACCTGATCACACCTGTGTGTACCTGATTCTGCCTGTGTGCACCTGATCCCACCTGTGTGCACCTGATCCCACCTGTGTGCATCTGATCCTGCCTGTGTGCACCTGATCCCGCCTATGTGCACCTGATCCTGCTTGTGTGTACCTGATTCCGCCTGTGTGCACCTGATCCCACCTGTGTGCACCTGATCCCACCTGTGTGCACCTGATCCTGCCTCTGGGTACTTGATCTTGCCTGTGTGCACCTGATCCCACCTGTGTGTACCTGATCCTGCCCCTGGGTACTTGATTCTGCCTGTGTGCACCTGATCCCACCTGTGTGCACCTGATCCCACCTGTGTGCACCTGATCCCACCTGTGTGCACCTGATACCACCTGTGTGCACCTGATCCTGCCTCTGGGTACTTGATCTTGCCTGTGTGCACCTGATCCCACCTGTGTGTACCTGATCCTGCCCCTGGGTACTTGATTCTGCCTGTGTGCACCTGATCCCACCTGTGTGCACCTGATCCCACCTGTGTGCACCTGATCCCACCTGTGTGCACCTGATACCACCTGTGTGCACCTGATCCTGCCTCTGGGTACTTGATCTTGCCTGTGTGCACCTGATCCCACCTGTGTGTACCTGATCCTGCCCCTGGGTACTTGATTCTGCCTGTGTGCACCTGATCCCACCTGTGTGCACCTGATCCCACCTGTGTGCACCTGATCCCACCTGTGTGTACCTGATCCCTCCTGTGTGCACCTGATCCTACCTCATAAGGTGGAACTAATTATGCCTGTGTGTGGATCTGGTTCTGTTTATTTTGTGATTTTTTTCTCTCTGGAAGTTTGTAGGATTCTCTCTTTAGACCCACCCTTTTATAATGTCTCCATCATATGTCTCTGCCTACAATCTGCATTCGTGGGACAGCTGGGCCCGGCTGTCCCTCTGGTAAAGGGGGACACTCACTCTCTCACCTCACTCAGAGCCTTCCCCCCATTTCCTCCAGTTCTTCCTCATTTTCCCTCTCATGTTCCTCTTTTCTCTCTGATTTGCCAGCGTCTTTCTTTTCTGCTGCTTTCTGGAAGAGTCTGCACCCTCCAGTCCAACTTCTGAGCCTATCATTTTGCTTTCTTTTCAGTTCCCAGGCACTTTTTCCTGTTCCCTAATGGTCTTTTTCCAAAAAGAGCCTGGTTTTACTTTAAGAATGCCAGAGTCCTAGTTTCTGAATCCAATAGGTTAATTTTCTTCCTCCTGGAATAATATTTAATCCATATTACTCTGTTCCTTTTCCCCAGACCCAGCATATTGAGTGGGGTCTACGTCTCTGGTGTCTCCCCCCTGCAGCCCTCTCTGTCCCTCCTTGCCCAGCATCTGGGCTCACACCTGGATGGAGCAGGCTGGGCCCGAGTATGGGGCCTGGCCCACACCAGGCCTTCCTCCAGCGGCTCTCACAGACCACTGGGCTTCCCAGCCAGCCCCCACTGGAACATCATGTCTGGTCACATTTGTCCAGCAGGAGGCCTCCTGTGTGTGGTGACCCAGAGCTGAGCCTGTAAAATAGAAGTTTCCAGGTGCCCAGAGGCAGCTTCGAGGGGAGCTGACAGGGGTATGCTCCCTCCGTTAGGGTACTTCGCCTGCCTCTACCTTCCCAGGACCCACAGGTCTCTCACTGTGCCTTAGGTGGTGCATTTGAATTTGAGAATATGACTCCCAGCCATCATGCTCGCCCCCGCCACACACACATGCACGCATATCACACACATACACATGCATGTACATGCGGGTGCTCATAAGCAAACACAGATTCCTATACACACGCATGACTATGTGCACACACGCTCGTGCTGTTGAGCTGAGAGCCCCCTGCGTGGCCTGTGACAGGCCCCCTCCCCAGCAAGGGAGTGGAATTCGAGGGCCCGCACAGCAGCTGGGAGTAGAACCTGGGCGCCGGTGGCCACTCGTACCCTCTCGCCCACAGGACTTTGTGGTGGGCCTGTCCATCCTCCTGCGGGGCACTGTGCACGAGAAGCTGAAGTGGGCCTTCAACCTGTATGACATTAACAAGGACGGTTACATCACCAAAGAGGTAGGGGGCGGCCTGTGCCCCCACGCCCGCCGCCCCACACACCCCTGTCTCTCCCCTGCAGCTGCAGCCTGGCCCTGAGAGAACTGTTGGGCAGGAGTGGGACTCGCTCGGGGGGGGGGGGGGGGGGGGGGAGGACAACGGGGTTTGCATGCCCCTCACCGCAACTCCTACTGCTTTGCAGGGTTCATCTGGGGCTGGCCCGGTTCCCACCAGCAGAGGGAGCTAGTGAGGGCCTTTTCAGGCCAGGTCTGAGCCAGAACATGCAGAGATGCAGAATTGGGAGAGGGCACCTAAGAGTCCAAGTCTGGCTCCCCCATGCCACCCCAGCTGTGGGGCTAGGATGGCGGCAGGCACGCGGTGGGGGTGCCCTGACTCCCACTCAGCCCATCCTGTGACTCACACGGCGCCCATCCCGCAGGAGATGCTGGCCATCATGAAGTCCATCTATGACATGATGGGCCGCCACACCTGCCCAGTGCTTCGGGACGACGCCCCTCTGGAGCACGTAGAAAGGTTCTTCCAGGTGTGTCCCCGGTGGGCCAGGAGGGAGCCTAAGGGAAGCTCCACCCCCACACACACACACAGATACACACTCACACAGACACACACACACACAGAGGACCTTGCATCTCCCACCCGATTGTCTGGGGGCTGTGATGTGCCCATCCCTGCTTCCTGACCTGCAGATGGTCAAGGCTGGTGGGCAGCTCACACCCAAGGCCAATGCTCTGGAGCCTTCCAAGAGCTGCTTAAACTCCCTCAGGGACGGTGTGAGGGGAGTGGGGGTGGGAGTGGGGTCTGCAGGCATCCCAGCTGGGCCTTGGTTGCTGCATCTGCCTGGGGCAGCCTGGGACTGTGCTCGGGAAGTGGGGCTCAGGAGCAACTGGGATGGGTGTATGTGGGGACTTGGGAGGCAGGCAGCACTGAGCCCCAAGCTGGGGACCCCTCGGTCTTAGCCACCCACTGCTATACCCTCTCAGGTCAGGCAGGTTGGGGCGACACTCACCTAGGGTGTGGCTTGGGTTGCAGAAAATGGACCGGAATCAGGATGGGGTGGTGACCATCGATGAGTTCCTGGAGACCTGCCAGAAGGTGGGCGGTGGCAGAACGTGGTAACACCCCCTGTCCCCGGCACCCTCCCACCTCCGACCTCTACTGTCCCTCAGTACCTTACTCCCCGCCTCTCCTGGGGGTTCACAGGGAACAGTGGTCGCCAGGCAGGCTTACCGTCTGGCTGTACCCAACCCCCATGACACAGGCACCTGTGAGGGTTCCAAGGTCCCCTGAGATGCTGTTCGTGGTGGGGTGGGGTGGGGGTGTCACTGGCCCACTCAGAGCGCTCTGACAGGCTGCCTGCCCTCTCTTCCCACAGGATGAGAACATCATGAGCTCCATGCAGCTGTTTGAGAATGTCATCTAGGACACGCAGGGGTCCCTAAGGCCTGCCCCCGAAGACACCTCAGTCCTGCCAGGAGAAGTCTCCATAAAAAACTTTCACTAATATATTTACAAAAGGTGGACAGTTGCTGTACACACACACACACACACACACACTCACTCACATGCATACACATTCTCATTCATACTCTCACATACATGCACTCTCACAGTCGCACACATGCACTCTCACACCGTCATACAACCACATACATGCCCTCTCACACCATCACACAATCACAAACACACATGCACTCACACACTCTCACATTCTCTCACACGTACACACCCACACACTCAGACTTACGCACACACTCGCACACTCACACATCCACTCAGACTCACACACACACTTTCACATATACTCACCTACTCACACAAAACATACATGCAGACACACTGCAGGCTGACAGAGGGGTCAGTGGGGCATGCTGTGTCAGGTGGCCATTGAGAGGCCAGTATCCACCCCACCCCCGCCGAGAAGTGACCAGCCACCCTCCCTCCCGTTTGTCTCCACCACACCGGCGCTGTGTGGGGCTGCTCTGGCCTCGTCTGTCCACCAGCCCCACTCCCTGAACCCTTCAGAGGACCTCCAGGGCACCGGAGCTGAGCAAGAGGGACGCACCGTCCTCTGGGGGACTCTGGGGCATGGTCCAGGCAAGGGGCGCCCTCTCAGTGCCTGGCTTCCTGGAGGAGGGTCTGGAGCAAACTGCCCCCCAACGGGGCTCAGGAGCCCTGTGGCCCCGGGAGGCCCCAGAGGGAGGCTGCCGCAGCCCAAGGTCATCAGTGGGAAGCTCTGGTGGGGGCCTCCCTCCCGCTGTCCCTCGGCTGAGTACCCCCTCCCCAGTTAGGGTTCTGCCTCAGTGTGCTGCCCTTTATGTGGGCCCACCCGGAACCTGTCACAAAGCACAAACACCCCAGCAGTGCGAGCGTGGGGGGCCAAGAACACTCTGCTTCTGTGAGACTGCCCCGGGGAAGAAGCGCGGGCCAGCTTAAGCCCAGATCCAGCCCAGCCCGGTTCAAAAGCACAAACGAGGTGGAGGGGAGAGAGAGCTGGAGCCAGCCCTGAGGTCAAAGGAAATGTCCAGGAGAGGGAGGGGCAGAGAGGAGAGAGAGCGCTGCTCCTGCTGGCCGCCTCCCCAGGTGGCCCTGATGACGGCAGGCAGGCCTCCGGGGACATCCCCACACGTACATTCCATCACCTGCTCAGGCCTGACCCCGGGAGAGCAGGGCCCTTGCGGAAAGGCGGAGTGGCGGAGACTGTGGAGACAGGCGTGGCTTGGAGGACCCCCGGGAGCCCCCCCATGGGATCCTTCTCCCGGGAGTTGCACTGATACCCACTCTCCCCTCTTCCTGAAGGGCGGCAGCTTCCCCCGGCTCAGGGACCCCCTCCCTGGCCCTGCCCTGCTGCTGGTGCAGCTCTGCTTCTAAGGGGCCACAGCCTAGGGGGACAGCGGGGACCAGGCTGGCTGCAGGGCTTGTCCCCCACACTGGGCCGCCAGCTGGCCGCATGTCTGCATGGCAGAAGCGTCTCCCTTGGGCACCGCCTGGAGGGGGGGAGGGTGTCTCTGTTCTCAGTGCCCACCGGTATTCAGTTCTGTATATTTTAATAAAATAAACTTGACAAGGAGCAGAGCTCCTGGGGCCTGAATCCCAACCACATCACGCGCCTGCTCTGCCCATCCACACGGTGAGCCTGGCCCCTGCCCAGTGCTGTGCTGGAGGTCGTTGGGAGTGACGCCGGGCTGCACATGGTGGCCTTGCCCAGGGCCACCTACCCAAAGGCATGGTCGGAAGAGATGCCCCCACCCCCAACCCACTCCTGCCAGGAAAGGTGTCCGGCAAGGTCCGGCCCTGGAGCTCAACCCGAGCCAGAAGCCTGGGCACCTGGGCACCTTCTCCAATCTCTTGTGTTTTGCCCCCCTGGCCACCTCCCTGTGTGCTCTGTGCTTGGGCTGTGCCCCCAGGTGGGGACAGATGCAGACTAGGCGTGCAGGCATCTTCCCTTTCTGGGTTTATTTTCAAAGGTCACGCTCTCGGGAGGGAGCTGGTGTTTATGTCGGGGGAGGGGCAGGAAATGAGAACACAGGGCCGGAGTGATGGGACAGAGGGTAGGGCGCTCACCTTTCACCCAGCCTGAGTCTGGTCAATCCCCAGCACCCCATATGGTCCCTGAACCCTTCCAGGAGTGACTCCTGAGCTCAGAGCCAGGAGTAACCCCTGAGCACCGCCGGGGGTGGCTCAAAACAAAAACAAACTGACAAAAAAGATATGAGAACCTAGAACAGCCAAGGGTCTTGCGTCTTCTTTCCTGCAGGGAGGTCTGATGTGCGCCTGCAGCCTTTGGCCTGAGGTTACAAGTGCTGTGCTCCCTACTGACCACTAGGGGGGGACCACACTCCAGACTGGCCCCTGGAAGCTGCCTGAAAGGGAAAAATCCTCTGATGAGAAGCTCTTTGTCCTTCCTTTTATAGCCGCGAAGACATTTTTATATTTTGCAAATGCCCAACACCCCAAATCTATCAAATTCTACAGGTTCCCCCCCCCACTGCACTGGGTTTGGGGAAAGGATGGATGGATGGATGGTGAGTCCTTCCGTTCTATTCACCAGCACACAGCAGGGAGACTGTTTCCACACTGCATTGCTTTCATCCCAGCCTGAAGCAAATAAAGTCAAACATTTTTGCTTTCATTTCTAACCTTGAAGACCACACGCGCCCCTCCCCCAAACACACACATGCACACACACACACACACACAGTCTTGAAGGGTAGTCTGTTCCATAAATATCCATGGTGTGAGACACCCGGGAAAGGAGTGTGTAACACCTTTCAAATAGCCAAAGTGGGATTTTCATAGACCCATACTCTAGAAGAAACCCCCCTCCATTCCCTTACCCTGGAGTTATGTTTCTAACCAGCGTTCCTCAGTCCCTAACCTTTGATCAGTGACCTGGGACCCTCAGGAACACCATCACTGCACTCATGTGTTCTGCCTTAGTCATGTAAGGTTGCAGAGCCATTTGCCCTCTGAGCCAATCACAGGGCATCTGTTCTGTGAGTTTCCTGCCTCTTCCTTCACACCCAGAAGTCACAATCCAGTGACCCTCTTTCTTTCCGGATCTTTCCGAGTTCCAGGTATCCAGGCTGGTGTTAAGGGAGGCTGGACACAGGGACTCTAGACATAGTGACACATTGATGTGACTCCTTTAACCCCAGGCACAGTGAGCCCCCGGGTGACACATGCCAGCATCAATGTTAAACACCTTCCATCCACCAGGCATGAGGAGCCCACAGGGAATCAGACTTTAGGAATTCAGAGGTTCCAAGGTTTATCGGGCTCCTTTGGAACAGTTTTGTTGTGCGAATATTCTTTCGGTCGGGGACACTGAGATAAGAGACGCCAGAGACATGAGATTTGCTGGAGAGGCTCCTTGCTCGCTCAGGCAGAGAAGCAGCGAGGAAGCATCCCACGGCCTCTTTTATTCACTATCCTACGTACACACGTCTAATGCGCTCAATACAAAGAAAGCATTAATGGGGGAAGGGGGTTCCAGGAGGGCATCAAGACATCAAGGCTACATTGTTCTGTCATGTCTGCAAGCCCAACGGTCGCAGCCTCCAGAGAGGAACCCAAGGCTGAGCAGTCTGGCACCATGAGTTACACCAGCCTCTGCCTTTATGAAGCCCAGTCTGATGGGAATACTAGGCTGCAGAGATGTCCTGGGAAGTCAGTGATTCGGCGAGTGCACAAGCTGTCGCATAGAACTGTGACTAAAGAGCTCAGTGTGAGAACCTTCCTCAGACTGCAGTGTCCATTGTGTCCGTGAAGCCGGTGAGCATCTGAAGTCTGCCTGCCCCTATGTCTGCCCCACCTTCCTTGCCACACACACGTTCCAGACAGAAGCAGAGACACTGAATCCCGAGGCTCTGAGGCCTGGAGCAGGTTCTGACATCCTCAGTAGGATTCCTTGTCTTTTCACTGCTCCCCCAGACTTCTCCACCACAGGCCAGACCCCCAAGGCCATGGATGCTTCGGTGAGCCCTGAGGACCCCTGAGCCCCTTCCTGGCTCCCCTTCACTCACCTGTGCAGGAGGCCAGCCATCTCGCTAGTCACACGCACACCAGCAGGGTTCACATGGACTTTGTCCCTTGGCATGTAAGGGAATGTGCAGACTTCAGCGGGGCTCAGAGACTACAAAGGAGAGCGAGATACAGGTGAGGGCCCGTCTGCCCGGGGAACAGTGCCTGTGCCGGGAAGGCCAAGACCAAGGGCTCTGGCCTGCATGGGCCTTCCCCCCCACACACACACAACTGTGTCCCCAGAAGCCAGTGCTGCCCCAGTCGCACCCCATCTAGGCCTCGTACCTGAACCCGCAGCACCGACCCCACTGCTCTGTCCTCTTAGCTGCCTCTGAAGGTAACTGCACCCCCTGTGGAAGTGGCTCTGTGCCTGCCTCATCTCTCCCTCTTCCTGAACTGGCCCCTCCACATCCCCAGCAAGAAAAGGCCTTCGGGAACTTCTCTGTCACTCTCCAGGCCTCCACACCACAGGGGCAAGGAGGACGGTCAACTGACTGGACACAGGCTTCTGAGTAAAGCATGAGGCACTGAGCCTGAGGAGACGCAGATCATTCTGGGTCTCTGGCACTTTGGTGAAGTCCATGTACTCAGGAGTCTGTATATCAGTCTGGCCTTCCTGGACGGATTTATTCCAGGTAGGAGTTGTGCCGCCAGGCCATCTGCCTCCCAGCAGGGTCCCTCTCCTCCTGGCAGTAGCTCCCCATTTCTCTGGGGATCCCACCTTTCCCTGTGGGGTCCTCGTGTTCCCCTGCCACCATGGCCCCACCTAAGCCAATTGGTTCCTTGTCCTTTCCAAATCCAAGTGATTGAAAACCAATGAGGCCAGAGTGGAGCTGGGGAAGGAGGTGCTGGGGGCAGAGCTTGTTCAGCACTAGGTGATGCACCTCAGCTGGAGTGCTCACACATACACAGACACACGCACACAGGCACAAGCACACACACACACACAGACACATTCTGGGCCTTAGGGAGGGGCACACCTGGCAGTGCTCAGGGTTA